GACTCAAGCTGATAATTCAGACTTCCTTCAGATCTTTGACATGATCGTATCTGTGCAGGCCAGCTTTCTGTGGCTAGGACAAACACACCTGAGATAATCAGCTTAGAAGGAGGAAGGTTTCTTTAAGCTTATAATTCAGTCAATGGTCCTAGAAGTAAATTATAAAAGGTGAGTCGTTTTGTAAGCCTACAGATGTGGAGTGGATGGAAGAGGAAAGATATATAGCCAGGTGGCTAAGAGACAGCGGGTACCACAGGAGGCTAGCTGTGGGAGAGCAAAGCCTGCAAAACCTAGCTCTTTGCATGGTAAGAAGAATCTAGGCCTGGACGTGGCGCAGCCCAGCAGCTGCCAGGTCAGTGCTCAGCAGGAAGGATTTAGCTCCTGTCGGCAGGGCTCGGCCTCCTAATCAAGAAACAGCTGGCATTACAGAGAGGTCCCTTGTCACAGCTGGCCCCCATGACCACCCAGCTGGTCTATAGCAAGGGCTTTCTGACTCCTGGAGGGCATGGCTCTCTCTCCCTTGCTTGCTCTCTCTCCATTGACACCTACAGCTGCAGGCTGGGCATGCTTGATAAAGGAAGACAACCAGAGAAAAAACCTCAGCTCATTGTTCTGCTGGGAAGAAGTCCTGAGAGAGAAGTCGTAGAACGTGGCAACGCCAGGTGAGGTCGCGCATGCACCGAGTGCTTCAGCCCTGCGCCTCCATCTGTCTCGCTGCTCCTTGCCGCTGTCCTGTGATAATCAGGAGCGGTGGGTTTCCTTGTGACCTGTCTCTCAGCCTCACCCTGGTATGGAAGCAAACTGGCACCAGATTCTAGCCTTGCCACGAGTCCTGGGAACGACTTTCAGCAGCTCTCCTCTCTGCGTCTCCATGCCCTCGTTTGTCAATTAGGGATAATGCGCCCCTCCAGGAAAGAGTCACGGGGGAATAAAAATCAACTGCTGTCCCCCTGTACCAGAGGTCACGCTGTGTTGCTCCGGACTTCAGAAGTGCTGTTTGGGGTGAGACGCTCACCTTGACCAAGGGAACTTCATGGAGTTCAGCAGACCTGGATCTCAGTCTGCCTTCTTGGCTATAGCACCTCCACTAGCATTTTCACTGGGTCAATTCCTTCATGGGTGAATTGCTTGGAACAGCCTCAGAACACACTTCCTGTCTTGATGCAGCGATTAACAGCACCTGAATTTGGACAACAAGTCACAGAGCCCCTGGGCACTAATACTATGGCTGTGAGAACACCACCCTCAAAGATGTCCTAAGAATGAATGAAGGGACTGCAAAGGGGGACTACACACAGGCCTCAAACCCCTTCCCCGTCCCCACGGCCGCGCCTCAGCCCGGCTCCACACAGAAGTGTCCAGCCCCATCTGAAAGAGGAAGTGCTTTAAATCCTGCAGCAGACAGACACGAAGACACCAGGGGCGCAGGAATCCAGATGACAACTTCATTCTCCGTCTCTCAGAACCTCAGCCACGTGAAATGACGGATTGAGCAGCTGCCATTCCATGCTGGGCCGGGAGGGGGGGAAGCGGGGGTGGGGGGATGGATGACTTCAGACCCAGGGATTTGGGGGCCCACATTTCCAGCAATGTATCCACAAACTTGGCGCCTTCTAAGCTGCAGTACCACCCTAGTCTGAGGAGCTCCGATGGGAAGGGTCCACAGGAATGGAGTCAAGTGCACATCCAGAGGCAGCGTGGCTTCTTTCAAGTCCTGGGATCGATTGGATCAAATTCAGGTCAGAACCCACGTGCAGCTTCTGCTGCTGCAGAGAAACTGCCTCGTGGGAGGTCACAGGTCGCAATGGCAGGCCACCTGCACGGTGCGTCGCAGTCCTTGAGGCCTTGAGGCACTAGGAGCAGAGTTTCCCATCTCCTGGCAGCCAGGAAGCACTGGGAGCGGGGAGGGGAGGGGTGGGGGGGTGAAGAGACAAGGAAAGAGGAGAGAGAGAGCGCCAGGGATGTCTTTCCAGGTCATGCCCTACGTCCTCCATGAACTGCCCCTCCAACTGCCCATCTGATCATGAATCCAACAATTGATGATTTCACTGGAGAGACCAGAGCCCTCAGAATCTACTCACCCCTCAACGATTGGGTCCCCCAGCTAACAACCAGCCTGCAGCCGATATTTCATATCCAAAGCATAGCCCTAATCTGAGGGAAGAACAGCCCTGACACAGAGCAAACCCCGGCCAAATCTGGTGCAAATCACCTTATAAAATCTCAGAGCAAAGCAGACCGAGAAAGAAGAACCTAGATTCCCAGCCATGCCTCCCTTCCACCCCAACCCCATCACCCGCCTCCATCTGTAGGAAAGTTCCGGAAAAGCAGCACTCCAAAGCAAAGGGGGAGAAGCTGCTAGCCGATAGGAAGAACTGGTGGCAGTGACCATCTGAATATTCATGCCCCTCTGTGTCTGGGCCGGTGGCCCCTCTCAGGGGCTCAGTCTCGGGAGTCTGTGGTGTGAGCCACAGCTGCTTCCAAATATTTCAGGAGTTCGGGAAGGGAAGTGAGATCCAGCAACAGCACCACATGAGCTGCAGAAGCGTGGAGATCCGTTCCTCACCAAACCTCTCTTCCTGGAGCCATGGGGTGTGAGCTTCAGGATCGGCTCGGAGCGTGACGCACACAGTCCCTGACAGGGGAACTTCCAGTCTGCACCCCAGCCCTGAAGGCCACTTTTTATCACCTCTCTTGTTCAATCATTGTTGGCAAAATGTTCCGGTAGATTCCTTTAGGACACACTTGCTCTGTGGTCCACGGCCAGTCCCAGCTTCTCCAAGTTGCGCTGTGAACACAAAGTGGAGTAAGGAGATCCTGGCCCCTCTGCTGCCTGCCACGGAGCCAGGCAGACGGGAGACGGTGCTGCCCAGCGAGCTCGCCATCTCCATCAATCTGGACCCAAAGCTTGCTGGCAGCCATGTGAGCCCAAAAGGGACCAACTGGCATTGATCTGGCCCCATGGCTCTGTGTACCGGGTGGCTTGATGGTGTGTGGCTGGGAGTCATGCTCAGACACAGGGCTCCGGAGATCTCTCAATCTACCCCCCCTTCCTCTGCCCTCTGCTGCCACTGAGCTGTCTCCCACAGAACCATCGCCCCCCCTTGGATTTCCCCCCGGATCCTCTGTGTCCACCCTCCGTCCTTCCCCCAAGGAGCAGCACTCTCTGTCTGCAGTGGAAATTGACCACGTCAACCCCAGTGGTTTTCTTCCGTGATCAAGTCCTTGGCCTCCTGGTCTAGAGGAACAGGACACTGTCCTCCGGCCTTCATCACCGCATCTCCTTGCCTCTCCGCCTCTCTCCTTCCTTTGTGTGTCTAAGTAGATGGAACATCCGAGACCTCGACTTCATGCTCATGTTCAGACCTCCGCCTTGCCAGCTCCCACCTGTCATGAACCGCTCTGGGTCTTCAGGAGCCCAGTGAGGCGCCCCCCCACTCCACTGAGCTGAACCCACTTCCCCGTGCATCTCCTTCAGTGTTAACCACACTTGGCTCTACTCGAGCCCTTAAAAAAAAGTCTCCTCGTCTCCCCTAGCAGATGAAGGAGTTCCCTGGAGGCAAGGGCATAGCTGACCACCCCTGTTGGAGAGCCACGGCCAGCAAATAATCGTTGGGTGGCGCAGCATGGCTGAATCCCTCCGGGTGGTATTCCAGCTGTGTTTGGTGTCTCCCCTTCTACTCCCCACCCTGCCATGTCTGAGGAACACCGACATGCTGATTGGCAGAGTAGCAACTCCACTAAGGTCCAGAGTGGGGGAGGGGACAACAGGACCCAACAAACCACACTGCATCCTAGGTCCCAGGTCTGCGCAGGGGACCAATGGTCCACTCCACTGAGTGGAATTTGTAGGGAGGGAGGGGGCAGAACCTCAGAGGTGCTTGGTTAGGAGAGCTAAGTACATCTACAACTGAGCAATCCAGTGATCATATTGGTGATTTGGTTGCCACGGTGACTGGGGAGATGATGGACATCCTCTTGGACAATCAACTATCTCCATTGTCAGTGGTGGTGCCTCTGGGCTGCTCAGGGGCGGGGCTAACCACACCCAACCAATAGAAGTTAAGGGTAAAATGAAAGCCATCTGGGCAGGAGCTTCTGTCCTCTCTCTCTCCAGTAAGAATTATAAGGGAGAAACTTGGAATTTGGAAGCAAAAGTTCCAGCCTGAGTTATCATCCTGATGCTGAGAGCTGGGTATCCTTGGACAATTCAAGTGACCACTCTGGGCTTTGGTTTCCTCATTGAAGAATACGGTAACCAATCCCAGCCTGGCTTACGTGGCTTCAGTCTGAATGTTAGATTGAAAATATTCCTAAAACATGGCTTCCAGCTTACCATGGCTTGACTCATGATGCTTTGACTTTATAATGTATGAAAACTGAGCTTAGGAGGCTGAGATCAGAAGATCATGAGTCCAACTGTAGCCTGGGCAAAAGTAACAACAGCCTGTCCAAAAGCAAAACAAATCAGATGTTCAGTCAAAACCAATCGCAGCCTCTTCCTGGCAGCGATGTTCAGTTTAACACTTACTCAAATGTTCACAAGCATGTGAACATTATAAGCAAGTGATCTGAGCATCTAGGTCACTGGGCTAACCCACATCCTTCAGTTAGGTTAGATTATATTCGATGCCGTTTTGATATTTAATATATCCAACAGATGTGTGCGACTCCATGGCAAGCTGGCGGTCTCTAGACTCTGTAAGTGTCGGTTGGTTCAGACATCAAAGGCTCCTAGTGTGTGATCAGGCCATTTCCAGGGATGTTCAGAGGGTCAAGAGGATGCTGGCTTCCTGCTTTGGATGATCCAGACCAGAGATGTGTTTCCTTACATCAGAGCTTAAGGGCTGAGGGTCCTCCAATGCCAGCAAACTCTCCCCAAACCATCACACCCACAGAGCTGCTCCTAACAGGAGCGCATGCCTGCCCCAGGGTGGCCCTATGGCCTGCTTCATGGAGTCAGGGGTGCAGGACTCATTCCTGCCCGGCTCTCCCTGCAGGTGGCATCCCCTTCATCCTGACCGGTGAGTTCTTCCAGCAGTCACAGCGGCCAGCAGCCTTCATGATCGCAGGCACCGTCAACTGGCTGTCCAACTTCGCCGTGGGCCTCCTCTTCCCCTACATCCAGGTATGGCTGGCAAGAGGCTGCTTCTATAGGGTTGTCCTGCATTCCACAGCCTGTGGAGGCCAGCTGGAAGGACAGAGCAGGTCGATCTCCCCCCTCCCCCAACTTATACTAGTCTTCTTAACTAAAAGTCCTCTTCTCTCACAAGGCACCATGGCTGACACCTGTATTTATTTTTGTTGGATGAGGGGTTTGAACTCAGGGCCTAGGTGCTGTCCCTGAGCCTCTTTGTGCTCAAGGCTAGCGCTCTACCACTTAAGCCACAGCACCACTTCCAGTTTTTGAGTGGTTAATTGGAGATAAGAGTCCCACAGGGACTTTTCTGCCCAAGCTGGCTTGGAACCACAATCCTCAGATCTTAGCCTCCTCAGTAGCTAGGATTCAAGGCGTGAGCCACTGGCACCTGGCCACATATTGGCTTTTGATGAATTGATTGGATGGCTGCTTCTAAATTATGACATAAGGCTGTATGACAGTAGCTTTGTTACTAAGTTTCTAGGCCATGCCTGGCCCACCCCTGACTCATGCAAAAACACTGATCCACAAAAGATCCCTGGGTATAGGAGGATGTGTAGGAGGCTATGACCACATTACCAAGAAAGCCCTTCTTATCTGTCTGCCTTGCTCCAAGGAGCTGTTACACTTTCACCCAATTCCCATTCATGGGAGTAGGAAACAGCTGAGATTTTTGTTTTATCTAAATAGCAAGGTAAAAGTAGCACTGTGCCAAAATTGCCTTCTATTTTTAGCATCATTTTAACGTGAATGCTATATTCTGAAAAAGAGATCTTTGTCTGAATCTGAGACGCTGGAACATTTTCATGGCCATTTTCAATAACATAAAAGATATATTTACAGAAGTGGTATGATTGCCATTAATAGCTTTAAAGTCAGTTGGCAAAGGGAAGAGGCAAGGAGAGGGGCTGCTCTTCGCTGGGTGGACAATTGGTCCAGGAAAGAGCCTTCAGTACCTCCATTTTCAACTGGTCTGCATAGCCCAAAAACTGGAACTACAAACGTCACCTCTTTTAGTTGCCTTATCCAAAAACAGTGCCCACATCACAGGGTTGGCACAAGCGCTGCTTATCAGCAGTGCATAGCACAGGGAAGAGTCAACAAGCAGTCTACCTTCCGCCTCATCCTCTCTCCTCCCCAGCCCAAGCCACAGTCTAACAAGCACAGCTCCGGGAAAGAGCACAAGGCTGAGTTTTGCTCCAGCCTGCCATTCTAGCAGGGTGTTCAGGACAAGCAGCATAAATCACTGCAGTTTGATTTCCTCCTCTGAGAAGAGGGACAAACTAGACAGGAGCACACTGCCAAAGATCTGACTCCAAAATCAATAAGGGTAAACACTCAGTTCACCGAGTCGCTGGGTAAATGCTCAGCTCACTGAGTTGCTGGGTAAATGCTCAGCTCACTGAGTCGCTGGGTAGCTCCTTCTCACCGGCCGCTCCCTGAGCAGTTCTGCAGAGCCAACCATCAGGACTGGGGCTCTGCTCAGGGGTACGAGGCAGGAGCGGCGGTGAGCATGCATCTGCTAGCAGGTCTATGGCCCTACAGGGCAGCCACCTCAGTGTGGCAGGGTGTGGAGGTTCATCCTAGCTGTTTGTGCTGTTATACGAAAACACCCATTTCAGCTCCATTTTCAGCTTCAAGACCACTTTATGGTGCCCATTAGGAACCTGACTGGTGCTCAGTGCACTGAAATGCCAGGTCTTACATGTTAGCAACATATGAAAAAAACGGCACAAGAATTTGGATCCCACTGGATTCACAGATCCCACTTCCACTCCTTCATGCTACCCATGGTAGGGGCCAATGGAAGGCACCCACACACGCAGAGCAAAGCCCCTGCATGCACTACTCCAAAGGACTTGACTTTAACAACACTGCTATTCTTTTACAGCCATTGAATCTGAGTCAGGCGGAGTCTCAGATGTGTTGTCTGCTCAGTCTCAGAGTGGAGCAAAAGATCAAGCTCTAAATGCTATGCTATGCTCCAAAAGTAGGTGTGGGTTTGTTTTTGTTTTTCAAATACAAGAATTAAATAGAAGGCAGCTTCCCCAGGAAGCCTTTCACTCCTAAACCTTGCTGAGTGCCTCGTGCAAACCAGACACCCCTCAAGGCCCAGAAGCAGCAGAGGTAACCAAGTCACCACAAAGCCGGAGGTCTCTCCTGGCTCTAATCAGGACACCAAGCAGCATCTGTACCTGCCATGTCTTTTTATTTTCTCTAGTCTCTCTTATTTGTGCAAGGTTGGGTCTAAGTGTCTGTCATGAGTTTAGATCCTTCACATATTGGAAAAACAAAACAGAACTGTTCTCTTGACCTGCTCGGTGGGAATATTTCTCTTCCTGTTGGCAACCCATGTGTCTTGTGGTGTATGGTGGAAGTGGGAAGAAAATGTGGGAAGGAAAGCGAAGACACTCCGCTTCCAATGTTACGTTCTTGCTTTTGCGATGGTCCACTTTGAAATGCCAAATCTGCAACAACAACAGAAAAAATGTAGGCAATGGTTGGTTTCAGGTTGTGTTGTCCCTGCCTTTCCACAGAAAAGCCTGGACTCCTACTGCTTCGTCGTCTTTGCGGCAATATGTGTCGCAGGCGCACTCTACTTCTACTTCGTCCTGCCCGAGACCAAGAACAGGACTCACGCCGAAATCAGCCAAGCCTTTGCCAGGCGGAACAAGGTGCAGGCCCCTGAGGAGAAGCCCGGCCCCGCCACAGATGACAAGAAGGAGAACGGAACGGCTTCCACGTAGGACAGCTGTGTCAAAAACAGGGTTGTTTGAATGGATGGAAAGGTCTCCCCATTTCAACCAACCAAAGATCTCCCCACATTTGGAGGACTCAAACGACCGAAGCCATGCAAGCCTTTAAAAATGAGCCTTTCCGATCTCACACGACTGTCTCTTTACAGCTCAACCTCCCACACGCTTCTGGAAGCTGGAAAGAATCTCCTTATGTGTTAGTGGACCATTTGGGTACCACAGAGGCTGGCCTTCTGTGGCATTGCTATGGTTTTGACAGGAAATTGGGGGAATAGCATTGGATTGTTCTCTTAAAGGACTCTGTGGCTGGAAATTATACTTGGAAGTTCAAGTCCCAGCTGGGCCCTAAGGACCCTGACCTGCCCTCTGAAAGCCTAGCCCTTCCGAGCCCAGTAGGAAGACTTCCTCCAGCAAGTGCCTTTCACTCACCTGTCTCTCTGCCTTGGGACCAGGCTTAGGAAAGCTCACAGCCGCACCATCATCTTGCAAGTTCTGCCTTCTCTGTGTTGCTGTCCCAGGAGTTCCAGATGCTAGGCCTGGGCTATCTTGACTTTAGACGGTTATACACATACAGAAATTATCAATGTGTAAAAAGAAACAGGCATGCAAGTATAAGAACAAAAACAACCTTTCTCCTAACTGAGGCAGACACTACAAATTGAACTCTATCCAACTGAAGCACAATACTGAGAATGATTATGAGACTACGCCTGGTGTTGTTGAGAAAGAACATTGTGATTGATTGATGATGTCTGTCTCCAGTGCAGGAATAAAAGAATCAGCTTGTGTGCCACATGTCTGCCAAGTCTAGAAGACTTACCCTAAGAGGCAGCATACTGCTTTCGAAGACAGTGAGTTCGCCAGCACTGGAAATGAGGAGCGGTGTTATTTGATATTTGGGTTGCCTCCAAACCCATGCAAAATGCACCTGAAAAAAGTTAATAGGTAAATGAGAGTTAATGGCTAGATTGTGTGGATGTGTTTAGTGATATACAGAGAAAGTGGTGATTAGGTACAAAATTTTCCAGATATGAAAGTGTAAAAAAAAAGTAATAATAATAAAGAAATAAAGTGAAATCTTAACATTTGAATGCTCTTGTTCAAATAAAATGCATCTTAGTCATGACTAAATCTAAACTCAATTTTCTTATAGGTTGTGCTAGGAAAGAGCCCCAGGAAAATGGGACTGTATGAACCAAATCCAATTCTTTAGACACACGGCGAGTTATTTCCAGAGGCGCCCAGCTGTGTCCAAGTTGGAGTTATCATTCCCATAAACCTTGCTTTTGGAGCTGTCCATGGTGCTGACCTGGACTTCAGGTCCACTAACATACTGTCATGATATTGTTTATGATGCTAGAGATGACTGGAAAGTAAATATTGCTGGGCTCATCTTATGTGGTTCAAATCCAGTTCTTCCAGCTCTCAAACCAGCCAGGTTTAATACATCTGTCATTCTGCGCCTTTGACTCTGACCTGTGCACAACATTTAGGTATCAGTCCTTTTCACTGCAGCATCGTAACACTTGCTGACTACACATTGGAGTGTAGCATTAATGACATTAGCAAATCACCTCTTGGCACTCCCGTGTTGTATAATACTCTACTACGTTGTCTCTAGCCCTGGTACAAGTTTCTTTGGCCACTGAACTGCCATACAATATGACTCAGGGAAAAGGACACAATCAGTCTGCCCTAGAGCTTTCATTCATGGAAGGCTGTGTATTTGGGCAAGTTCACTCTGGCCTTCTTGAAGATGTAAGGGAGCCTCGATCTGAATCACTTTCCAACTGATGCAGCTATGTAAGTGAGGCCAGGAGAAAGCAACCAAAGATCTGCTTTAAAAATCCCTCAGAGAATTACAGTAAACATGAATTATTGCTGCTCTATGCCAACATCTTTTGGTATACTCCGTTAGACAACAATAAATAAATAACAGAGACTTGTTATTTCTGGTTACATTTCTCAGTAAAGTCTCAAGTCCTGGTTCAAGCTCAGACACCCTAAAAAGAACAACATTAAAATCCTCTGGATTACTCCAGCACTAGTGGGCTGTGATTGTGGCTACTTAGGAGACACAGATCAGGAGAATCATAGTTTTAAGCCCGGAAAAAAAGTTTATGAAATTCATTTCAACCAACTGGGCACACAACAATAAATGCCTGTCATCCCAGGTCTGTGTGAGGCTGAGATTGTGGGGATCACAGTTCCAGAAAAGAGAAATTTCCAAAAAAGACAAATTTCATCTCAACAGAAAGAGCTGGGCACGGGTGTATGCATCTGTCATCCTACCTCATAGTCCAGGTCAACCCATAATAAAATAAAAACGAATTCTCTCGATGAGTAGCTCATTCATTCACCTCCCAAACATTTGTTAAGTGTCTGCTGCACACCTGTGTTAGGTACTAAGGAGGCAAAAATAGCTGAAACCCAACTCAACCTTCAAGAATTTGGGAAGATGAGCAGCCATGGATGCCAACCCACAGTCAGGGTTCCCTCTGTGGTGACTTTCATTCTCCTGCCGTGCACTGGACAAAACCCAGCCAGCCTCTGTGCCTGAGCGAATACCCTTGTGTCTCTGGACCTCTTTCTGTCACTCCAGACTGTGTGCTTTGGGCTTTGACTACAACAGAGACCTCTGTGATCCCTTGTTGGATTTCTTGCTGCTTGCACTTGGCTGTGGTTGCTTTTGCTTGCATTTCTTCTTGTCCAGGCTAAGATCCTTAACATAAGACATACCAGATCTGTCCCAGAGCCTTGAGGTACTCATTGTATGTTGACAAAACAAATGAATGTTGTGATAAAGATAAGCAGATAGAGGAGCTGGGTGGGGAATGTGTGTGGCTGGGTGATTAAGACAGGCAGCTCTGAGTGGGAACATGGGGGCTACATCTCCAATAAGGGTACAGATGTCATCAGATTGAGAAAAGGGTGAAGAATTCCAGACAGAAGTCAGAAGAGATGAGGTGAGGGTGGAATGGGATATCCTAAGACCAGCAAACTGCTGCTGGGAGCCCCCGTGGTGTCTGTGAGGACGAAGGTGGAGGATGAGCTGGAAAAGTGAGTGCTGACACCACTGAGACTAAGTCCAGGGCACCGTCCACCTCCTTCTTAACACAGGCCTGTGCAGAAAACACCTGATCCTGCCACTGCCCCTTCATGGACCGGACAGTGAGGCTTGGGGAGTTCAGATCGTTCTAAGCAGACTTCTTCTTGTTTGGCTTCCACTGAGTGTTCCTTCACAGGGTGCAAACCCCAGAGAACAGAGGTCGCCTTGAGTGACAGAGACACAGCAGCCACTCATGGCTGTAGACATTGGCTGTCATTTCCACTGTGATGTGGATGTAATTGCCCTTAGCACCTTCACTGTCCCCTGGCAAATTTGTACATTCAGTTCAGTAAATTTCCTCCCTGTTCAGTCACGGCACTTAGGGACTTCAGTTTGTCTCAGCCAAGAACTACAGCTCAGAATTACCACCGGCAGAGGGCGGAGGCAGAGCCTGGGTTCTCAGCAGGAAGTGTGGGCAGCCAGCATGGGGCAGTATTTCAGAACGGAGCTAGGGGCCCACAGCTCCAGCAGTCCCATAACTGGGTGCCTCCTGAATGTGTGGAAAACTGTCCCAACAATGTGGTTCACCTCAGCAGCTACCTCTGCCTCCACATTTGGCACACATAAATAAATGAATGAATAAATAAATAAATATTGCATTCTGTGACAAACCTGAGCGCAGAGAAGCTCATCTGAGAGAAGGTACCTCCAGAACTACCCTGGAAAGTGAGGTGCTCATGTGGAAGCTGGCAGGCCTGAAGAAAAGTGACTCAACACAACAATAAAGTTTCAGCACTTGACCAAAGACAGGGTAGGGGGAGGGGTGGGGCCTCCTGGAGAGAGCCTAATGGCTGGTGCAAATTGTGTCAATCAGGAAATTAGCATAAACCAATGGCCTATGAGAAGAGTACCCCACCACCCCTCTCCCCCTTCCTCCCTGAACATAGGCTGCTTTCCACACATTCACTGTGACCCTGTCCAGCTGAGCAGCCCCTGGGTGAAGGCAGTGAGAATCAAAAGCCAGAGAAGAGAGAATGAGGACTTTGAGGAGCAGGCAAATAAGTGATGAGCTCTTCCTGCTTTCCTTCTCAAACCTTGACCCTCTGCTGTGATTCTAGAGCCATAAATGCCGTGACTCTGTGTCTACCTCCTGTGCTTACCACCGCTTCCAAAAACATTCATGATCCAGCTAGAATTATTTTTATTTTTTTATTCTTTTTTTTTTGCAATAGGTAGAATATCTACCCCTCTCACACCTAGAGTTCCTAAGGATTTAAAATTGCATTTGTATTTTCTATTCACATTTCCTGCTCTCCTTATCACTACAGACTTTTTGAAGAAGAGAAGAGTTGATAAGCCATCTCCAGATTTCCTTGCAGGACACCAACTGTTAAATAGAATACAGGAACGCATTCTACTTGATTCATATTTTGTTGGAAGAGACAGGGAAGAAATGAACAGATGTAACCTTTAGATAACTTACTCCTAGCTTAATCAAAACACAAAATACAGCCTGTCCTGGTGACTGTTAGCTGTGTAGGATTTAATCTATTCACTGGCAATGTGGGAGGTGTTTAATAAGCTTGTTGCTGGTTCATTTATACAAGGCTCTATTGCAAGACCAAGGATGCCAGAGTCAAAGGCCATCAAATGCTTGCATTTGAAACGTGACTTAATATCAAGTAATAGCCAGAAGCACTCAGTATATTGCAGTGAGGGTTCAGAGAGTTGTGGACAGTTGGACAGTGGGCTGCTCTTTTTTGTAGTAATGAAGTTTCAGGCTAGGATTTGATCCTGGCTCTGCTGTTTTCTGGCCTTGTAGAAGTTACATAAACTTTGTAATCCTCCACTTCTCATTTTGTGATTTCTCATCTACCTAGGTTAAGGGTTGATGGATGTGTTGATTTTACAAGGTAATATACTAAAACATGTATCATAGTTCTCCATGTATATACAATCAAAGTGACAGTATCACTAGATAACATAGTAAACATCCTAAGTCCAAACTCATCTTCATTATCATCATCATCATCATCATCATCATCCCTATTATCCCCATCATCACTGTCATCACCATCACCATCATAGTAACCGCTTCTGCTATGTGTCAGCCTGTTCTAAGAATTTCCCATGATCTCACACTTAACCTCCAAGTAGCCCAATCATTGTTAGCCCCATTTTACAAATGAGAAAACTAAGACAACTGGAAAACAGAAGCTGGGTGTTTTACCATGATCGTATAGCAAGACGAGGCC